GCATCTGAAGGAGGCCCAATCTGTGGGATCTTACTGGCCGCTGGGAGGTATGTGGCAGTAGGCGGTCTTAAAAGTACGCTGGCCCTAAGTCATGTAGGGCTGTAAACCAACACCTTGAATTGCGTCCGGAGACCAATTGGTAGCCAGTGCAGCTCGCGGGGGACAGGTGTCACGTGGGTTTACCTCGGTGCACCCAATATTGATCTCACGGCCGCATTCTGGACTAACTGCAGTCTCCGAACGCTTTTCAAGGGTAGCCCCATGTAGAGCGCGTTGCAATAATCCAGTCTTGAGGTGACAAGCAGCAGTTGGAAGTCCTGAGTACATATTTTCGTACAGTATTTTCTTCAGATTTCTCATATTGAGAACTGAATAACAATCCAAGAATGAGAGAAAGGGAACAAGTCCTTCACATATTTTTGCCTTCAGAATCATTTTTTCTAAAGATATGAAAGGGAGTAAACCTGTTTTTTATAGCCTGGCCTTTTACAATCATGCATGAGTTCCTTCTAAACTTTGTAGTTAACTGTTCTGGCAGTCCTCCTTCTAAGATCTGTTTTCTTAGCCAGTAATATTTGGCTATGGAATAGCCACAAGATCCATTGTAAAGCCAAGTGAAATCGCGATTAGAAAGAGAAGAACAATTTTCAGATTAGAGCAAATGACATCAAAGCTGCAGCCAGCAGAGAACTAGTGCATGAAAGGTATCATTTTGGGGGAGATATTTTAGAATCCTCTTGTTTCAGTCCTTTTTAAGTTGGTCTAACTAAGATGGGTCAATGAAGAGTAAATCAAATGATACTTATGGCCTGTAAACCCTACTGGCTTCCAGCTGCCTGTCACTCTTTCTCCAAAATATTCTTGATAATAAAGGTTTCTCTGGAATGGCATGAGATGCAGTTCAGGGATCTGCTAAAGCATAACCATGGAATGACTTCAGAGAGTATGCCTGGCTTGGGTTATAATATCATTCATTTATCAAATACAACCACATGTAAGTCAAGTAATAAATTCTTGTTTCACTCTGCAGGGTTTGCTGGTGGCAACGATTTTCTGCTTTTTTAATGGAGAGGTACAGTAATTCATTTATATATCTCTTTTTTTATGAATGAGTTGGATTGCTGGTTTGAAAGCTAGCTGTGTTCTACAGCCATTAGTAAAGAAAAAGCTTTTAGGATGATTCCAGATCAAGCTTATTAAATCATCCTGCATCTTTTATGGAATTTTAAGAAGATTTTCTTCCATTAGCTATCAACCATCTTCCACCTCCCTCCCTAACTGTTCTTTAGTCATTTCACACATAATATGCTCAAAAAGAATGCACTATACCACGGGTGTCAAACTCACCGCATCACGCTGCTGTCACGTGATGTTTCATGATGTTTTTCACATTTGTGGAGCTGGGGTAGGCATGGCTTGTATGTGACACATCTGGCCCGTGGGCCGCCAGTTTGACACCCCTGCACTATAACTTTCAATGAGTCATACTGAACTTTCTGTCTGGAATCATTTCTTATCTGTAGCTGAAAAGGGAAACAACGACTTTCTAAAATGTTAGCACCAAATATAATAATTAAATTTCTTGCAAGTAAAAACAAAATAAATACATAGATTTAAGCCAGAATTATCCATGAAACTTTAAATCATGGCTGATTTTGCAGTTATATTTTGATGGCCTCAAACTACAAGTCCCTTACAATGTGTTGATTAGTTTTCAAAATATAAATCTTCATGATTTATGATAGAAAATTCTTGTCCCCCAAATAATTATCATGAATGGGAAACACTGTTCAGAGGCTGATCATTTTGAGCCACAAGGTCCCCTTCAACATCTCTTAATCTTTAACAGAGAAAATTTGCAGTCCTTCTCTTCTGCTATCAACTGTTCTTAGGCGATGAATTCCATTCACATTTCATCAAGGCCTCTAGTAAATCAAACTTCCTGTTGCACAGGTGGCTTACCACATTGTATGAACGGAAACTATTGTAAAACAGAACATCCTTCCAAAGAAGTGGGTAAACAAATTCAGACCTTATGTGGCTTCATTTGTACTAGCCAACATATTTTTAACCAAGGTGAACTCTATTCAGGAAACAGTTTTTCCACCAGCTTGATGGAAATATAAATCAGATTTGTCAACTCAAAAATCCTGCAGGATTAAGCCAACAAAAATACACTATCTCACATGCTGCTGAGCATCTAAAATTGATCAGTAGTGTCACAGAAACTTTATTACATACATATGGAATTCTCCATCCTTGTAGTTGTTCAAAGAGATTTATTTGGATTCTCAGTCTTTCAACCAGAGATTCTTCCTTGCAGGCCAACAATTTCAAGGCTAATTATAACAATTATGAGTGTTAGAAGTGATCGAATGGTCCATGTTCCATCTAAAAGCTTCTTCTATAATGCATGTGTTAATCTTTATGTGCTGCCTGAAGATTCTTTGCTGTTCTTGTACAGGTTAACACAGCTACTATTTTGAAAAATATTTTGTAACATTTTCCTTTTATTTGAAACGACAGTCATTGCATGCACATTTCTGTATCTTTAAGCACCTAAATCAAAGGCTCTTTTGGTTATTACAGAACTGGGATGAACTAAAATTCAATTAATGGTATTTGGGGAACATTTGAGGCTATAAAATTCTTAAGGAGAGTAACACCCCCATTACCGAACTCAGGTGTCAGGGTGGTGAAAATGTAAAGTGGAAATATAAGTATAAATCAGTATTTAATAGTTATTAATGCTATTAAAGAAAGCTTGCTCCACAATTTATATAACATTAAATTATTCAAGTGACGAAATGAACCATCTAAAAATGCAAGATCATTGTATAAGTTTTTCCCCTTATACTTTGACTTTTTCAATATCTTTTCTTGTCTTTATATATCTTAGTTGCTCACTGTGTATTTTTCCTTCTATTTCACTGCAAAAGGGAAAAAAGCTCAATAGACTTGAATCTTGACCAACGATATGCAATTGATGATCCAGAGTAGAAGAGAAAGAAAACAAGTCCCAGGTTTTTTTTCCCCTTTAACTTCTATCAGTTATTTTTTTTTCTTTTTTTCTAAAATAGGTCCAGTCTGTCCTACGGAGGCACTGGAAACAGTACAGGATCCAGTTCGAACATAGTTTTGCCCACTCCGATGGTCTCCGGTCAGCTTCTTTTACAGTTTCTTCCTCCTTCACTGATGGCCAAAGCTTCAATTTTAACCATGACTGCCCCAGTGAACATTTAAATGGAAAAAGCTTCAGCGAGATGGAAAATGGTCCTTTTAAACCCGAGAAGCTGTATGGGTGATTACAGAAGATTGTCAGTTCTCACCAATGTGTTATTTCAAATAGATGGCTCCCTGAGCAGCAGTGACTTTTGGAGGGAAATGGCTGTTCCTTAAGAATGCAATGAGTTTTAATTTGTTTATTGTGTCTACACGCATTAGCATATCTTTGCAAGTGAATGCTAGTATACTGGAGCTAGTGACACCCAATCATTGGAATATTAAGCTTCAACCTCTGGATTTAAAACATTCAGAAAGATGCTGATTGAGATTTTAATGGGATCAATCATGCCCTAGTTAGATCTGTTCTTGTACATATGTTTTTCTGCATATAAATATATCTGGAGATAGATAAACTTTGCCTCTTCAACTTCTACTGTGTAGACAAATTGGGCAATTTATTTTGTATGAAGGGAATCAAAGGAAGTTCTGTATTTTTTTTTTCAGCAGTTTGTATCTTGACTGGGTTGTCATTTTGCAGCCATTTTGTTGCTTCAATACTTGTATATACGGTATTTATCATATTCTGTTGTCTTAAGTGCAACCAACAAACACAGTCTAAATCTTGAAGAAGAAGAAAAATCACTAAATGCAAAGCATTCTTTTGGATTGACTGTGCAACTTCTATGTCTGACAAAGATGGATACAAACCAATCTGCAATATTCTGAATAAAGTGGATTCAAATTTACTAGACATATGAGGGCCAACATTTTCAAAAATGCCTCTTACCTTCAGTTCCTGCAAGCAATTGAAAAAAAATATAGTCATCCCATCAATACCTGGTAGGCATAGGAACTATGAGGATGAAGATGGGTTTTCTGTCCTTCTGTGGCCTTCTGTGTGTGTTTGTGTGTGTGTATGTGTATAGGACATGTTTTGAAGGTATGGCAATGTTTGTGGATGATTTGTATTCAGTAAAGAAAATAGGTGCCAAGGTTTTTTTTTTAACTATGGTAATTTGCCAATAGGCTTCTCCGATTGGGCTGATGCTTTAGTAAGAAGAACAGAAGACAACAGATGAGCCTTTTAGGGAGCAGAGAGGAATGATGAGGTTCATACCCTAATTTATTTATTTTTCCTAAGTGGGAACCTTGGGTGAGAGAAATCATTATTAGAAGACAGTGTCTAGTAACAGGTGTAACATACCCACATGGGCTCCATAATCCCCACAGCCAGAATGTGGAACACTTACAGACAACTTTGATCATATCCCTCTATAACGTTCATAGAGACATTCTCACTCAACACCCTAGCTAGAAATGAGTCGTTCCTTTCCTTTGAGCAAAGACCAAATGTTGATGATCTAATCATACTGGGCACCCCAATTCACACATCTAAGACGGGTCATTATTTTGGCTTCAAACATACAGATGTTGGACAAGCACAAGTAGGGTTGTTTAGACCTTGACTTTAAAAAAAAAAAAAGAGCTAATGAGAAAAGTCCTTCCATTTATGACTGGAGGGAAGGGAAAGAAGAACAAATTATTATTTTTTTCACTTTTACAGCCCTGTGTATAGTCTCCAAATCTATCCTGGATCATTGGGGAACTCTCCAGAGCCGGTTCAGGAGGAGTTGACAAAGTGAAATTATCAAAAAATTGTTATTGTACTGGCAGATTTTCAGTGGGAGTACTTTGATTCGTGTGTGTGTTTGTGTGTGTGTGGGGGGGGGGCTTACCTCACTTTGTTCATTTGTACAAAATGGATGAAATGGCCAATGAGGCCCTCCTATTGGATCTTGTAGAGAATCCTTAAGAGGCTACAGTTAGCACTTTACATTAACAAAGTGTCCTCTACCCTTGTCCGCAAACATGGAAGCCACATGGAAGTCAGTGGGATTTGAGGCCATCTTAGTTATTTGCAAGATTGTAGCTGTAGCCTTCTGAAGTGGAGCCTATTCTGGTTTGCATAGGAGAACTGATTTAACTTTGTGTTGCTTGGGGTTACTAGGTTTGATTCTTCTGCCTTTACATACACTCAGAAGTGATTTACCAAACAGATAAAACCACTGTTACTGTATTTTTAACTGATCAAGAACTGTGCAAAATATGAATAAGATAAATGTCTTTCAAGGAAGTTTGGTAAGAACTTTATGCTGTGCCTTTGTGAAACATTCTTTTTTTTTTTAAGGAAGATAAATCTTGTATACTGAATAGCAAATTAAAGACGCAGGAGCACATGAAGTGAGGTGAAATAAACCTTTCAAAACTCATAAAAATTTCCTGACTGTAATTTAATTTGAAAGCATGAGAATTGTCAAGTTGCTGCTGTTGAACATGCATGCACATACTGAGGTTCTTCCGATGCCTGAAATAAATGAACAAAATGTCCAATACAGCTTCATCTTCAGCAGAATCTCCCTCCAAGTATTGTGAAGCATGTGGATCTCCTCTTTTCTCAGAGTTACACATTAATTGTCATTTTGCCACTACGCAGCCGCTGTTTGGTTAATATTTGAGATGCCTTCAGAACTAACAGCTTTATCTGGATTTACCTGCGACTAAGGCTATAATGTAGCTGATTTCATTTCAAGTTAGCTTCCTCTATCAACCTAGCCATTAAACAGTTCTTGTTTAACCATATGGGTGAATCAGGCTCTTGGGGCATGTTCTAAAACATATATAAAGCCAATCACTGAAAAAGAATTATGACTATTATCAATAATCGTAAGTGCAAATTTAGGTGACAGTTGGTAAATGCTGATAACCATGTTTCCATTTTCTTTTGATCCCCGAAATTAGCACTTGGCCTTATTTTTGGGGAGGTCTTATTATTTTTGAGGTGCAGGAGGCAGCGAGCATGGTCACTTAATGGCTGCTGCTGTGTGTTGCATTATTTTTGGGGAGGGCTTATTTTGGGGGGAGGGCTTATTTTCAGGGAAGCAAGGTATCTTACTCATTGCATGGGTAGTGGACTATTGTTATTTGGGTATTATAATTGCTGATGANATACAGTAATGCAGTGGTTCCCAAACTTGGCAACTTTAAGACTTGTGGACTTCAACTCCCAGAATTCTCCAGCCAGCAGAGCTGGCTGGAGAATTCTGGGAATTGAAGTCCACAAGTCTTAAAGTTGCCAAGTTTGGGAACCACTGCAGTAATGGAACACAGTAGGGGCAGCACTACCAACCTTAGCCATTGTAATACCATAACCTTCTAAATACCCGCTGAAGCCATAGAAGATGAGATGTGTTTTTTTTAAATGATCTCCGATGAAAAAGAAAAAACTTGGAGATGGAAAAAGCGATCTTGGCTCAAGCACCAGACACTGCCGATACTAACAGCAAAGGTCTTGGCTGGAATTCATTGAGGAGTGGCATTCACAAGAAGTGTGCCAAAGTCCCATCAACAATTTTCTTATAAGCTTGAACAAGGAGTTCTCCTTTCTAGCAAGCGTTGTCTTCTGAAAAAGGTTGCCTGAAGTCAGGACAGTCATCCAAGTGCCTTTTGAGGCTTCTACCCTTCACATGTTTGGGGAAACAAGCACTTCCCTAATCAGATCCTGGCCTCAGCTGTTGCTTGTGTTCATTAGGAAAGAGGCTGAAACTAAAACCAGTTGTTGCATAATCACTGGTTTTAATATTGAACATTCGATGTCATTTTGGCTTCCTGCAGTATAAAAGCATCCAAGAAATTACCATAATTGAGTAGCGGTAAGTGGCATTTATAAATTGATACAGCTGTATTCCTGAATACTTCCTCTGATTCTGGTCACCCACTGAACAATTATATTACAGTATTGGAAAAAGTGTGGTGCCTAGCGGTGGAGTTCTCATCTCACAATCGTAGGTAGAGGCAGATATTTCTCCCTCCGGGCACAACAAGAATATATCTGCTGAACAAAACTCCACATTGGTCACAGAAAGGGCATCCGGCCAGTAAACATTCAGTTGCCCAGACTCCACCCTTGAAGGGATTATGGATTCATTAAAAGAAGATGATGATGATTGGAAAAAGTGCGGAAAAGGGCAATGAATACCATGAAAGGCCATCAAGCATTGACAGATCTGCTTTCAAAAGCGTGGTAACACGTGCAATATAAGTTCCGTTATATTGAATGGGATTTGTTCCAAAATTGCAAGCTAAGAATCAGTGTGAACGTTTATACTAGTAGACCAATGTTCCTGTTTTGCTTTCATCATTGGGGTTTTTCTGTAATGAGGGTTCTTATGAAAGGGTTAGCTTGGAGGGGGAATTGTATCTATTCCACTAGTAGCTAGTCTCAAAGTCCTCATTCATCAGGAACCAAATTAGCTAACTTGGACCTTGCCATTTCCTCCACAGGATGCTTTCTAAAATCGCTGTTTCCCTCTAGAGACAACTTTATTTCCAAAGAAAGCAATGGGTTACAATAATGTTCCTCTTAACTGATGATTGGTAGGGAACCTGACAAATATTAGAGGAAGTTTTGAGTTTGAATGATTAAATGATTGCTCACAGCTTGGTGGCCAATATTAACAGAAATGAATGGTGATCACATATGAGGACCTTGGCTGTTGGAGTCTTTTGATGGTCTACTTCCTGGCTCCAGAAGAGAGCTCAAATCAGTAGACAATACTAAACACAAAGAGACCAGGACCATACACTTAATCCTACCCCAGTTCTCTGCAGCCTCCACTGAATCTGGAAGTGGGGATGGCTGTATTGGCATTGGCTTGAATGCAGTTAGTTCATCAGAACAAACCAGCCTCCTTATTTTGTTCTTGCAGAAAAAGCTGTAGTCACATTAATGTCAACACAAATAAAGCTGTCCTCCTTCACTGAATGTGTGGAGGCTGGAGAGAAGAGAAGCCAGAACAGTGTGCACAGTCATATTCCCAAGTGAGATTAAGCTTTTCATGCATTTATGCAAACACCAGAATGCTCTAAGAGACAATAGAAGACGATTCTATTGTCCTGTTGTCTCCCAAGAGAAAAGAATTCGGGTACCATTACGTAGTAGGAGCCTCCTTCAGCCTAACTTAGAGAACTGGAATTGCTTTTCTGTGGGACACATAGGTTTCTTATTCTATTTTCCCGGAGCTTTTTCTTAAAATAGTTTCATGTGACCGCAGTGATTCAAAAGGCTGAAATTCTGATGAAATTCATGTCTCTTGGGACTATTCAATATTTGGAGGGGACAGAGGGGGAATTCTAGTTATGTCAAGAAATGTCAAGAAAGAGCATGCTTCTCAAAATAGATCCTTACATAGCAATAGCAATAGCAGTTAGACTTATATACCGCTTCAGGGCTTTCAGTCCTCTCTAAGCGGTTTACAGAGTCAGCATATCGCCCCCAACAATCCGGGTCCTCATTTTACCCACCTCGGAAGGATGGAAGGCTGAGTCAACCTTGAGCCGGTGGTGAGATTAGAACCGCCGAAATGCAGATAACAGTCAGCTGAAGTGGCCTGCAGTACTGCACCCTAACCACTGCGCCATCTCGGCTCCGAGATCCATCACTTATATAGAAGATAAAAACTTACACTATAAAGATTTTGATGTATGGCCAAAAGCCGTCATCACTGGGGGAAGCAAAAGTATCACTGTGCTCAATTGGTGCCCTGATATAAATTTCCGATGACCGAAACTTCATGTGATCCTCCTTTGTGACCATCTTTTTTAAAAAGTTTTTTTATTTTTTTCATTTTCATAACAAATAACCACATGTATACTGTTACATAACCAACATTATATTATATTGTTAAATGTTTACATCAATTTGTCTTACCATCAACCCCCGAAAATGATTATTGGTTCTTCTGCTCTCTATACACCGTATTTATACCCTATGCACCACTTTCTTCTCCCTCTCTCCTCCTCCCTACCTCCTTTCTTCCCTCTTTCATCCTTCTCTTCTCTACTTCCTTTTCCTCTCTCCTTCTCCTCTCTCCCCTTTCCACTCCTTCTTTCTCTCCTTCTCTCCCCCCCTCCCTCTCTCCTGTCCCTCTCTTCTTCCCTTACCTCGCTCCTCTACTTCACACTCGGCATCTCATTTACTTGGTGTATTTCAGCATCTGAGCGAGTTCCATTTTATGTTGATGGTATTTATAGTTCCATTTCAATATACAGCTTTAATTTTAACATATATCCTCCTTCTTTTTTGAAGAAAAGAAAAAATACACATATATAGTAATTATATTTTTAACCCACCCACCCCCAGCCTATTTTTCGCTGGCATGTGGACCTGGTTATATTTGTGCTGATAAATAAATAAAGGGAGACTAGTATAGATCTATTTCAAGCTATTTAGCTCTCATCAGCTAGCCATACCCTTACTGGGA